CCAGGATTCTAGGGGGGGGTATTTACCCCCAGGATTCTAGGGGGGGGGGTAAATAACCCCAATAACCCCCCTTATATCCGCCACTGTTCAATTCCTATCCAGGGTAAATTTACAATCTAAGGTTGTATAAATAATAAAGTTAAACTTCTGCATATCCTTGCTGAATTTCCTCTATTAAGTATCTGTATAAAGAATGTTCTATCCAAGGAATTTTATTAATAAAGTTGACCATACTTGATATCCTTGCTGAATTTACGAGCTAAGGTTGTATTAATAAAGTTGACCTATACGTCATGTATTCTATCTGAGGTTGTATTAATACTGTTGACCTATACTTCATGTACTTACTGAATTTCTTATCTAAAGTTGTAATAATAAAATTGACCTACTTTATATCCGTTTTGAAATTTCTATCTAAGGTTGTATTAATAAAGTTGACCTACTTCATATACTTTCTGAATTTCTTATCTCCAAAGTTGTATTAATAAAATTGACCTACTTTATATCCTTTTTGAATTTTCTATCTATTTCCTGCTGAAGCTTGCTCTGGAGATTGATTAATTAATAAACAGATCTAGCAATATAAAAATTCTATTTACAAGCTTAGTACGGGTTTTTGTGAATAAATGAATAGATCTAGACCACGCAGAACCGGTGTACATTTGCATATCCGGGCCAACCTTTGCGGTTCTAGTTTGGCCTGTAATACCAACTTACAATCACTAAAGCGGGAGAACTGTGTGGGACAAACCCTAATTTGAATGGGTGGGGTGTTATATTCCAATGAAATGTGCAGTGTTTACGAATCTAAGTATGTAAGTATTGTAGTGATATATGGGCAGACCATTGCTAAGTGAGTTCCAGTTTTTGGGATACAAATTCCAACCCCGTTAACGGCAAAGGTTCATCTGAATCTTTAAGATCTGACTAATTATTAATTAATGGCCTGTATCTCTGGGTGTTTAGCAAGAAGGTAGGTGGTGAAGTTAAGGGCTGCTGCAGTCGTTTCATACCTGAATGAAAATAATTTTATGATACAAAATTCGGTTGTATATTTTCTTACCAAAAACTAACAGATCGAACTTGAACAGTAATATAGGTCCAAAAAGTAAACACCTCAACCTCTAAGACTAAACCGATTTTTTTTTATGATTTTAACCCCGAAACCTACCCTGCAAGTATAAATATAAACTCATGTGCTACAATCTCGTCTTCACTCAGTTTTCCATCTGTTCCCGCGGCATCCATACACAGCTGAAGCGCATCAACTGGCGGCGGATTTGGCGGATTAGCACGTCGGGCCTTCAGCACTTCTCTAAAGTAAAAGTCCAAAAAAAATGTTGCAGGTAAACATTTTAATTGGTTGTTAATTAAAATTTTAATCATAAAACTACAGTTCTATCACTAATATAAACGTCTTTTTATTACAGAAATTGTCTTTTAGAATTTTATAATTTCAATTTGTTAGTATTTGCAGCTAGCTAAGTAAAACAAAGACATTTTGCTTTATGTTGGTAACTAGTATATAGATACCTGCATTTTTCTATTATAACTTGATTAGTTCTTTTTCTTCCTCGCCTGCAGTTTAACCAGTTTTCTGTTTAATGCAAAAAGCTTTTCAAAAAAAATCAGTTTTCATGAAAGTTCTAAGTTCAGATAAAGAACTTTTTTATCTTTGCTGAACTTTTTAGTAGATGTTACGCGAGCTACGCTGCGTTCATAAAGTCTATGTGATACCCCTGCGAGTCTCTGAGTTCTCCCTGAGGATCTGTACAGAACGTATTGTAAAGAACTAGTTTTAGAAGCTGTTTACAGTCCGACTACGCATGCGCAAGTTTTCTGCGTAGGAGCGAGCAGATTCTACTTCAGTATATAATTGTATTTCATGTAATGTTCGTCGATTATTAAAACCGTGTGAAAATTCTAGGACCACTGCGGTAATTATGATTATATTTATATGAATATTGTTTATTTATGTTCGGTTATGGTTGATATTGTATGATGTAATGTATGGGTTCCTTGCCACAGTTTTTTAATGCCTGAGTGGATTTATTGCTGTATTTGTATGATTTATCACTCAATGCTTTTTCTGTTGGCTTATAAAAGATTATTTAGATTGAAGGCTTAGAGAAATAAACGTTCGGAACCTTATTATCATCCTTTTGTTATGGAGAGCGTTGAGAGAAGGAAGCCTTACAATCCTATCCAGAGAAATACCACTCGGTACTTATAGATTTCATTAGGTCTTTAGGGAATTCGCTAAGTAGCGAAACAGTAGATATATATATATATATAAGCAAGGTTACGTTTAAATGAAGACGACCTAAAACTCTTAAAAATATGACAATCCCAAGAACAAATTGATATTTGTCTCTATTTTCATTTAAAAAGGTATTTTTGAATATATTTCTATCTTTTTTTAAGCTGATTTGAAAAGGAACGATGTGTATAAGTATACCTTGCCTTACAAAGTTATTCTATAATTCTTCAATATGTCACAATTATAATTATGTTAAATGTAGTTATTATCAATATTATTTTTCTAATTCTTGCCGTGAGTTGACAGTCTGTTATTAAATTGCCCTTGTCCCCAACCACAAATTGTAAATAATATTTAAGCATGAAGATAGTTCAGAAAAAGAAAATGTCCATCGGAGGGTATAAAACCGCAGTTTGAATCAGCTGTTTTTGTAAGATTATGCAAAGTAAATACTGATGCACAATAGTCATTGAAAGGTTTATTTTTACACTGCACTGTGGTGGGTTTGCAGTGCTAAAGTGTGTGCACTGTACCGTGAAGGGTTGCAGTACTGAAGTGTGTGCACAGTACCGTGAAAGGGTTGCAGTTCTGAAGTGTGTGCACAGTACCGTGAAGGGTTGCAGTACTAAAGTGTGTGCACAGTACCGTAAAGGGTTGCAGTACTAAAGTGTGTGTACTGTATCGTGAAGGGTTGCAGCACTAAAGTGTGTGCACTGTACCTTGAAGGGTTGCAGTAATAAAGTGTGTGCACTGTACCGTGAAGGGTTGCAGTACTAAAGTGTGTGCACTGTACAGTGGTGGGTGTTCAGTATTAAAGTGTGTATACTGCACTGTGGTGGGGTGCAGTACTAAAGTGTGTATACTGCACTGTGGTGGGGTGCAGTACTAAAGTTTGTACACTGCACTGTGGCATGGGGTTCAATACTAAAATGGTGTAAAATGCACTGTGGTGGGGTGCAGTACTAACGTGTGTACACTGCACTGTGGTGGGTGTGCAGTACTACTGTACACTGTATAAGTATGTGGGAGAAGATATTACACTTGATAATTTAGACAGATATAAGGCAACAATTTTGGAATTTTTCAATCATACAGTTCTTTTTTTATCAAAACTATCAAAACTAAAGCAGACCAATTTTTATTTTCAAATATATTGTCTAAAATGTCATAAAATCAGAAAAAAATTGATAAATCGAGATTTACAGAACTCTCAACAGTCGACATGCTAGATTTATATTAAGTTTTCTTCCTTTTTCTCTGACATTACAATTATTATAGTTGGTAGAAAACCTTAAACTTGCGTACTAAATAAATATTATAAACATGCCTAATTTTCTTTTAATAGTTCCCAATTTTTTATTAATTAGTTCATGTTAGGTGATTATCTGCAGGGCCTCTCTTTTATGTTTCATAAGAATATAATATATAAAAATATATAATAAACTTATTGGACCTATAAGAAGTAAAAGTAAAGACTAAATAGTCATAAAAAATAATTAATTTTACAGTAAGACATGGGTTCAATGGGTTGTGTTCTTTTTAATATTAAATGAAAAAATATTACAACATTTTTTTAATAATGTTTTCAATGCATTGTATATTTGTTTGGACTATTCACGCATTTTCTTTCAAAAACACATTTTCTATTTTTAATTCAGACTGTTTTAATGATTAGAATAGTAAAATAATATTATCGAAGCATGTATAAAAGTACAAAAAAAGAAAAATACTATAAATTGTAAAAGTACCTCAGAATTTTAATTTTTCTTAGCATATAATTATTTTTTGTAGAAAAAACTGGTTCCTGCTGAACATCCAAGCAATTATTTTCTCCACAGCAGGAAAGCAAGATGATATGATCACAGTTGTATCGATCTGTCTGAAATACAATATTTATTTAAGGGACGATGATTATTCCCAAACGGAGTATTCGTCCTGTAAACTTTTTCCAGTAGGTCACACATTGCTTTGTATAGCATCTATAGGAGTTAGATTCATTCTTGATTTGGTTAAAAAAGGTTCTGCAGTTAAAGACAAAAAGTTTTAACGGTTTTTTATTTCTCAACAGCTTCAGAAATGGTACCGTAAGGCCTTGACTGGTCCAAAATGATCTGAAAAAAATGGAAACCCTGATGATTTTTTTCCCAATTCAGATTCCAGCGTTGCTCTCACCATCTATAAAAAGAGATCCTCTGGATTTAACTAACACAATTCTACCTATCCAGCTCTTTTCTGATTATCATCATAAAATAATCTTTTTGATCATGCTTAAATTTTCCTACCTATCCAGCGCTGCTCTGACCATCTTCAGGAAACGATCCTCTGGATCCCGTTGACAGTTTACATTCATTGCTAGAGCACATTGACCTAGTAATACAGTAATATTGTTTTTTAACCACATGAAGAAACACAGATAAACATTTTTTAGTTGACAGCATTGAATTGTGACTTTTCTGTTATTGCATACTGTTTTCTTTAAAAATAATTGAAATAAATGTAATTTTCATCAATTTTTATATACCATTAAAATCATGAACTGTTGCATGTTCTTCATCTGAAGAGATGATCAGTTTAAATGGATCAATTATAATAAATCACCTATAGTGTCTAAAGTTAGCCTCTGATAAACTTCATTAAAATCGATGATTTCAGCTTCGTCAATCTAAATTATAATTAAAATCATACAAAGGAATTTAGTCTTTACTGATGGTTTAAAACTTTGATATATCAAACTTAGATAATTTGATATGACATAATTCATACAAATCAGAGTTTATGGTAAACTCATTTCCTTTTCCCTTAAAATATTAAATGTTAAAGAAAGGTGTCAATTTTTTTTTGATTTTACAAAAGCTAGAGGACCGAAAAAAATGTGTGTAAGATTCTGTACTTAATAATAAGATTCCTTTTAACTTAGAACTTTCAAGATGACTACCTTTTAAGATGGAGCTATTTCATTTCAAAATGGCTAATTTTTACAAGATGGCTTCTTAATTTTAATGGCTACCTAATTTCAAAATGATTTCTATCGTCCAAGATTGCTACTTTATTTTATGATGGCTCCCTTATTTCAAGATGGCTACCTTACTCCTGAGAATGTCTATCATTGTGTCCACGGTTGTCCCCATGATCCCCGACATCTTCTTCATCTTAGCCGCAGAGAAGGTCGGGGCTAAGGTTGATCTGGCCCTTTTCCAGGTCATTCCCTGAATCATAATCATCATCATCATTATCATCATCATCATTATCATCATCCTCATCATCATCATCATCATCATCATCATCATCATCATCATCATCATCATCATCATCATCATCATCATCATCATCAT